GCGTTGTCAGTATTTACAATATGTGACAATATCGATGAATTAACACTTCTACCTTTTCCTTTGCTCAGCCAAACTGGGAGGTAATCTCGAACGCGGAGGCGGGATATGTTTTTCGACGAACGTCCTATATACCTAGCTCCGAAAGAGCAGGTGAACATATAGGTACACATAGAATTAGACAATCGAGGTAACAATTCCTTTACATTAATGTGCACCAGTGGACGGCTAGAGTAGGTTATTCGTAAAATGGTAGCAAACAACGTTTTTCCCCATGATCTCTTCAGACGATTTCTAAATACTTCACTCGCATTGTCACCACTAAATTCTAAGTTTAGGTGCAACACTTTTTCAGCTAAATATGTCTAAACCAAGTTCACTTTTAACGGTTTGAAAAAATTTGGGTTTTTGTATTTCCCAATGAATGAAAAACAAAACCATATTGTTTTTACTGACGTTTCGCTATTTAATGCTAATAGCTTTATCAAAGAAGAGTACTCAATCAGCTCGACATTAGAGTTTTCTTCAAAACATCAGATACACTTCAAAGCAACCTTGTCCATATAAAAGACCAAATCCCTACAGATTCTCTATCTAATTGTGTCTATAAAATAAAATGCTTGGAATGCGATGCAATATACATCGAACAAAACTCGTCAGAGAGAAATCAAAATCAGAAGAAATGAATACCGTAGAGTATCTGTTCGACCACCGAGAAATCCGGTTGAACTAGAAAAGCTAGGAAAATCATTGGTCAGATATAGGTCTAAATGCCATAGAATCAGGCCACAAAATTGATTTCCACAATATTGAAATCATCATCCAGAGAAACTTCAGAAATCACAAAGAACGTCTAATATCAGAAGCACTTCATATCAAGTGGAATCCAAGTTGGCTGAATAGTAATGACGGACTAAAACAGAATGTGACCTGGTTACAACACCTCCCTCCCCTCCCCCATGAAGTGACAAAATCAACACAAATGTGATAAGCAAGTTCACTATGTAAGCACACACTGCTTTTATAATTTCACAAACTGATCAAATCCAACAATCTGTACTTGGTTTTGTTATCTTTACCAACTGGCCAACTTGACAAGGTGGAAAATTACCCCATACTGACGAACGATGATCAAGTTGGTAAACTTTATTTTGATATCATAACAGATGTACTATTACCTTTGTTATTTGGTTCAGTGATCTTCATTGCTATTTCTACTTTCAATATGTCCCTTCAACTTGACCTAACTTGTCTATTTTCTCACCCCCTAACTGTTTGTTATATATATGCTGAGATTTTGTAAATTCCGGTTTAATAATACTTTGATTAAGCTATTAGCATTAAATAGCGAAACGTCAGTAAAAACAATATCGTTTTGTTTTTCATTCATTGGGAAATGCAAAAACCTTTATTATAATGACTTTTTTAGCTACCTTATCAGTTTCTGTATTTCTTCCACGTAATTTGCTATTGGCCTCTACGAAGTGTAGTATATAGCCGTTCTCTAGGAAGCTTTCATTCAGTTGTTTGAGTTCATCACTAACACTATCTTCGCTACAAATTCTCCGAACTCATGTTGATATAGAACGGATTAGATTCCTTTTTCTGTCTATGGGGACAAAACTGTAGAATTGGTCAGTTGTCCTGTCGATTCTCTGTAAACAGATCTTTTCAGAAACTCACCAGCTCTCCTTGTCGGTAGCACATCAAGGAAAGATATTTTTTCTTCGGTTTCTTTCTCTAAGGCGAACCGGATGGCACGATAGCTATCATTGAGTACTTTCAGGATGTCACTGAAGTCGCAGTTCTCATCACATATAATGAATGTGTCATCCACGTATCTTTTTTAGAAATTAAACACCTATATAACAGATGTGAGAGAACTGCTCTCCATATTAGCCAAGAAAATTCTGCTAGCTATTGACCAAGTGGCGGGCTCATAGCTAGCCCATCTCTCTATCTATAGATTTCATTGTTGACCAGAAATTGTACATTTAGAGTACATCGAAGTATGCGACGATGTACAGCTATGAAAGGGAAATCGTCGAAAAGAGAATTGTTTCCCCGCTGAATTCTTTGTTTTTATGTCTGTCTCAATGGGGATTATAAATTCTATTTAAATATAATTGGTCATTAGTATGTACATTTGGTTTCATATAACTGAGTAATTGTCATGCATTTTATTTTAATTAATTAAGCTGATTTTTAGAGGGTGGGGCGGGGAGGGATAATTTTCGTAGATGATTCGTCACAGGATTTCACCACGAGCTGACATTGGTTAGGGAACCATTTGGAAACCTGGGAGTACTGGACAACTTTTTCGTCCCAGTTTGGGACTCTTCATCAGTACGCACCCATCACAAGGGTTCGGGATCCTGGACCTTCTGGTTACAAGGTTAGCTCGTAGACCATTAAGTCAACCAATGTCAGCTCATGAAATCCTGTGACCAATCAATCAAATTCCTATAAACCAATACTTGAATATCGACGAGATACTCACTGGTGACTGGTCCTATTCAGGTAGGTAGTCACCTGCGGTTCTAGTGGGAAGTCGTGACCAGTAGGGTGCAGCAGGTCGGGTGTGAGGACAAATACTTTCCGAAGACATTGGCTAGTGATAGCGCTGTGTCGTGAATTAGCAGAAGTTAGAATTCATGGGCCATTCAATTCGGTCCCAGTGGCTTAATGGTCTACAAGCTCGCCTTGTAACCAGAAGGCTTGGGTTCTAACCAATGTCAGCTCATGATAAAATCCTGTGATCAGTCAATCAAATCCCTACAAACCAATACTTGAATATTTAGTAGATGAATTACCAATTTCTAAAAAATGTTGCTAAATAAGTGACTCGGTATAGTACACTTGGTATTCTCTAGACGAAGTATGATTGCAAAACCTGTGAAGGATAACCTACAGCTTAAAAATACCTAGGTTGTTTTTCGAATTTGACCACGGATTGATTTATCAGTTAGAGAACCATTGAAAACCACCAAGGAGTACTGGACAGCTGTTTCCTACATCCCTGTTTGGGAATCGTCGACAGTACGCACCCGCCGCCACAGTTCGAAACCAGGACCTTCCGGTTACAAGGCAAGCTAGCTGGTAGACCATTCAGCCACTGAGACCCGATTCAATGGCCAGTTCATGAATTCTGACTTCTAGCAATTGGTGATTTCAACGCGACACCAAGGAATGTCATCGGTGGGACAACCATCCTCACACTTGACTGGATGGACCTCACTGATCACGACTTCTCACCAAGAACTCAGTCGTGTAGCAAGTTATGTGAGTCTGATCTATTAAGGTTATTCAAACACAGTTAAATGCAGTCATTATAAAAGTTTACGCCTACTCCATCTTATTTTGACAACACTTGGCCTACTTTGAAAATCTTAATAGCAATTCACTCAATGAATAGTTTAAAAAAAATTTGTAATTCACGCACTTCATAGCTGTCCCACGCCTTTAAGCATCCTATTAATCACCCTTATTCTTAACATATGTGTGCGTATATCGACTGAGTAATTTATAGTGCCATTTAATGCCTTTGTTACGCAATATAAATACGACTGACTATTACAGATGTTTGAAAATGAAGACAAACTTCTTCGCTGAATAAGACGGCATACCTCTGGTATTAGTTATTATTATCCAATCCTTTCACTTCGAGTGGAACATGGTGTGTTGAGAGTAACTGATAAGATTTATCAGTAGTATATTTATGAAGATATGTTCATTGACATAAAAACATCAAAAAGCAGGGAGATAGATTTGATGTCAGAGAAGGCAAATGATACAGCGTTGTGCAGAAAAATGGCAGACGTGAAAGGAACACTAAGAAACACAATATGAAGGCCAGAAGTACCACAACATGAAGATCTGTGCAAGTGGTGCATTGAAGATAAGGTGTATATGTAATTTGGCTATATATAGACATACCAACTTCCAAATAAACATTCCCTTACCAAGTTTTCATCTTCTCGTTATAATCACACGACTTTGAAACATGAGTTTAGAGTGATTATGAACACTAAGTTGTGTTCTAAGCATCATCCAGTGAATAATACTGTTTAACTGTGTGATATATCTAATAAACGAACTAAAATGGCATTACATACTGCCACAGTGTCAAAGTTTTACACATCTCTTCGTCTTCTACTGTTTCAATATAGCACTTCAAGCTTCGAAGTTTCAGAGTAGCAACTGTTTATTTTCTACGGTGTGGGGTTGCTAGCCTCAACACCTAACTTTGCCTTTTTACAAGATTCACTAACAGCGGAGCAAGGTGTATTGTTCGAGGATCGAACTCCCATCCACGTGAATAGCTTGGTGAGTATGCCAACACTGAACCACCGACGTGTTCACAGTAGAACGCATAAAGCGTCAACAGTACATTTGCATTCCACTCGGATGCTCTGTGTCATCATTTTCAACTGGCTGCAACACTCAACTGCTTACAAGCTATCACATTTCCTCATCGTCTTCTTTCATGTCATTCTTGGACACACACACACACAACACGGGTCCTAACATACTCGATGACGTGTTATGTGTGTTGGATGCCACTTTAAGCTCCCCTTAATTGTAACTGATGGCTAATATATATATATATATATATATGGTTGGACAGGTATCTTCACTATCTATGTTTTCCGTACATTCACTCGTTGTTGGGACCTTGTTGCCTAGTCTGGAAACTGGTTGATTTTTGTCTGTCGATCATCAAGTTTGGCAACAGTCCTCAGTAAAGTTCAGATCTTATTGTCGGTCAAGAGTATACTCATCTTCTTCTTGCTCCCCATAGTAGTAATCTGATGTGTATGATCCACAGTCCACCACAATCAGAAATATCATCGGCGAAAGTAGACAGACAACTCTGTCTTCACTTCAAAGGATTCATCACTGAGCCTATATATATATATATATATAAATGTATGCACATCAAGACACCGAGAGTGCTGAACAATTTTGAATTTTAGCTTCAGTGTAAAATTACTTCAAAGACTTTAAATAAATAGCATATGTATTCGTTAAAAAAATCTTATTTTATATAAGTAACTTTACAGTTTATTATATATGTATATATTCTCTTCGACAATAATATGTCGTGTGTTAAATATTGCCATATCTGTATGTTTGGTTGAATAATGACAACAAGAAGATTCAATCAAACAGTTGGTGTCTGTACGCACGTCATCTTCTCTATGTACACACACACACGCACGCATACACATACCATACAACAGTAATGGTAGTGATCCAAACGAAACTGATTATAAAGAAGTGAATATTTATAAGAAATTTTAAAAAATCAACTTCCCACACACGGTCAGTACTACTGACAAAAAAATATATAAGTAGTACATACGCGTCTATACAAAATAATATAAATGCAAGTAGATCGAGATAAGTCGCTCGTAAACGGTTAAAAAAAAGAAGGAGTGGAAGGGGAGCAAAGAAGAAAGTAGTATATCTCATGATGGTGACTAGTTTCTTAGAAGGAGAAAAAGAATCTTTTTAAAGGGGAAAAATCACTGCCAAGGTTTTGGTGGATGAGTGAAAATATTCATAGTCTTAGGATAGAATTGATGTGCTACTGTTGTTGTTGTTGTTAATGGCCATAAGTTAAAAGGTTGTTGCTGGAGTGGTTGATTTTGTACAGGCAAAGGCAGGAGTCCAGCTGTCATATTAGTGACAGGGGGATAGCAAAAGGAAGAAGAACTGATCGGATTGTTAGCAGTATATGCCATAAACGGTACATTCGGATAACCTAACAATGCTGTTGGTTCTTTAGTCTGGTTAACAAAATACTGTGTTGAGATTTGTGAATTAGAATACTCTGTAGAGATATGACGTGATACACTGGACGAAGATGACGTCTCATCTCTTGACTCTAGTAAACAATGCTGATCTCCACCGTCGTGTAGTACAGTTGTTGATGGTGGACTTGAAGAGGAATACAATGTGGTATGACAAGATTTCGATAAACACGTGGAGGAGGACACAGATTCTCTTGGTTTATAAAATGTATACTTAAGCTTCGCTTCTGATCCACTAGACACTGAATAATCTCCAAGCAATGAAGGTCTATGATGATGATGCTGATTTCCACTTGACGAAAAATGCATTGAATGTCCTCTATAATCAACATCTTCTTTATAACCTTCAGTAAGTCTATCATCATGATCTGAAAAACAATTATCACTAGTATTTCTTCCTAGGGGCCAAGGACTGAGTGAATGGAAACTACCACGATAATGCGTTGTAGTATCCTGCTCATCTTGTCTCATATCTTCATCCTCTAAAGACATATCAATATCTACCATTGAAGGATTTGATTTTTCATTAGAACTAAACGTTTCATCGACTACATGATAGTCGTCTTCAGTATGAGTGGTAGTATCACCTGTGGTCGTCATTGTAGTGGTAGTGTTGGCATTTTCATGAGTAGAGGAAATCTCCCTCTCAGAACTATAATGTTTAGTCACATGTTTTAAAATAAAGCCAATCTGTAAAGGTCGGAATGAACGTCGATCAAGCACCACCTCTTCATCATCATTATCATCATCATTTTTATTATTCTCCTCAATTTGACGATGTGATTTATTCATACGACGAGCATTTCTGATCATTGGAACTTGGTGTTTATCACGTTGCTGCTGCTGTTGCTGTTGATCACGATGATGATGATATGATCCACGATCATCGAGATTCGCACTTCGAGATGATGCTGCTGCTGATGATAATGACGTTGCTTTCTTCACATCTACAGTATCATTAAACGCAATACTTGAATCACTACTCAAAGTACTATATGTGATATTATGATTATTTTGAACAATTTCATCGTTGGTATCATCACACTCCTCTCCGTCATCATCGAATACTTCACCTTCTTCACTTTCATCGACTACTGGATTACTTGACTGTGTAACAGAAATGACTGTTGGTGGTAGTGGTGGTGGTGATGATGATAATGAGGTTGGTAGAGGGTCTACATTGGTGGTAACAATAGGGTCATCATTATTCTTAACATTTACATCTGTAGATGTATCAATTTGGCTAGGTTGAACATAGTCAAGATTAACAGCAACAGGAGTGAAACCAGTTGAACTCTCAGTTTTTGAGATATCTGTGTTGTTAACTATCGGGGGAATATCATCACTATTATTATCGATACAATTACTGGTATTATCATTATTATTATTATTATTATCACCATCGTCATGTGATTTATCGTTTTTATTATAACTTTGGCAATGAGAAATACTATCGTTTTGTTTAGAGCACTCCAATTTTATTGTATCAGAAGTATTATTCGTTTTAAAATCATTTCTAAGCGTAGTAGCAGCACCAGTAGAAATGATAGGCGAGGAAGAAGAAGTTGACAGTTGAGCAGAGTCTGATTGTGAGTTATTCAGAGACTGATTATCACGTTGTTGTTGTTGCTGTTGTTGTTGACGTTTTACATTTGAGTTATAATGATGATAGGATTTCCGACCTCGAACAGGTGTATTATTATTACTACTACTATTATTATGCGAATTAGATGATGATTCACGGGAATATGAACGACCTCGATAACGATAACGCTGTTGTTGATAACTGTCTGAATCTGTGTATGATGAACTACTACTACGACGACGACGACGAGGAGGATTATGACGACGATCACGTGAATGTTTGTATGAAGAAGGTCGCCTACAATCACCATCAGCCTCTTTATCACTATCATCATCATCATCGTTATATGGTCGACGATGTGTATATCGGTTATCTTTATTTCTAGATCTTCTTGACACAGCCTGACTTCTACCATGCGATGATCGATATCTATCACTACTAGATTTGTATCTTTCATCAGAATCATATCTTGAATCTGAAGGGGATCTGTGGTATCTATCATCATCATCAATATGATAAGATGAAGGTTTTGACTTGAATTTTTGATAACTAGGACTACGAGATCGTCGATAATCATGCCGATGATGACGATAATCACTACGACGAGAATGTCTATGTATAGATCTACTGTCTGATGGAGGTGATAATAATGATGAATATGCTTTAGGGATATTATTACTAGTTGTAGATCGATGACGTGTTGACGCTGTCTTATGCAAATTATCATTAGACAACAGACTAGATCGTCGTTGTTTCTTTGGTGATGGTGATAATGTTGATGCTAGAGCTAGTATCTTTCGTGGATAATTCCAAATACTAGTTATTGGCTGTGGTATTGGTGCAGGTTCACGAAGTCGTAATATTAACATGTCTTTATCGCTAACGCCGCCGCCGCGACCACCACCACCACCAGCACCACTATCAGCAGGATGTTGATCATTGACAAGTGGATTATCAATATCCATATCACTTTTGTCCAATACATGTATAGACTGTTCACCTTGATCATTATTATTATTAACATCATCATTATTAATAGTACTATCAAGCTCCATATCAACAGATATATTTTGAACAATTGGAAAAGTATCTTGTACTAGACTTGGACTGGACGCAGAAAGTGGTTTTGAAGTATCACTGGTCATCGTCGCCATTGTAGTAGTAGTAGTAGTGGCATTATTATCATCAGTCGTAAAGTCAAACTGGACATCTAGTGGAATTTCTTTGGTTACATTTTGTGAATATACTAATCGAGTTGAACCATCGTCACCGGAACCACCCTTAGATTCTAATTCTGGACTAGACGGAGCAGCAATAAACTCTTTTGCACTAGGAATCTCTACAATGGTATTTTCATTAGGAGGTATTACATTGGATGAGCATTTTTCAATAGATTGATTTTGCTCATCTGTACATTTCAATTGTTCACAGGGTGTTGAATCCTCTGTCTGTAAAGTTGTCGTTGTTGTTGATGTCGTCATCGTCGTTGTCACCGTTACTGTTGTCTGCTTCTTTTCCTGAGATTTTGATGACAATAATGCAGTAGCCAGTGCATACAAATCTGGTTCCTCTGTGTACATTTGACGACGACGTAGTCGGGGATCTAAATGAGCATTTGGATATTGTTGTAGTCTAGGATCATGGATACTTGATGATGTTGTCGTCACTGGATGTGTAGATTCTACACCAATAGGCGGACCAGTATTGTCAATCATACTTTGATTACACGATAGCATAGAGATTAAAGTAGTACCGAGAAGATTTCTTCCACTAACTGGTAGTGTTGTAAGAATATGATTCAATGGAAGTTTCAGTTGCATCGAGGACATATTGTGGCATTCTGAAAAGGAATGTATATTTTGTGAATGAGACTAATTAAAGTAAAATTAAAAAGAATATTTCCAACAATCAGACGACAATACTGATTTGCACTTGTGAAGCAACAATAAAAATAATACCTAGGCCAGCAAAAGTGTCTCCGTCCTAAACAGGGCATCTCAAGTTCAACAGGTCGTTTGTTTAAACTTATTCACCTATGAACTACATATACAATGTGAGGGGCTTGGTGATACTAGACAGTAACTCATAGAGGAATGAAGTAGGTGGAGTACATGATTCGAACACGGGACACGTTAGCTGTAAGTCGAGTGTGCTTAAACTAAACAGCAACTTCTCGACGAAATAGATGAGAAAACACAGGTAGGCTATGAGAGAATTTACGATACTGTCAGATATCCAAGCAAAATAAATGAGACCTACTTGAAGTTGTGAAGAGATGATGACTAGGTTATTAATGTGGAACTTAATTCTTTTATCACACACACACACATTTTCAAAAAATGACGAATATACGAGATCACGATCTGTTAACATCATTATATCAACATATAAGTGTCGACAACAAGTAATGTAGCTATTTTCTAATCATCAGCCTCTCGATGTGCGTAATACGATGGTCAGAAACAGTATTATAGATGGAAGACAGGTTTTGATTTGAACAAGCCGAATTCTTATCCAACATAATCCTATGTCAGCTAACATTTCCCGACGAGGAAGGGGATGATGATCTGCTGAAATGCATAAAACGTGTCCAATCATCTCAGCCGATGCAGCTTCACGACCTTCTCAATTGACTTAACTAACGCTCTACGTCTAACCTCAGTATCCACTGTCCACATATCTGTACCACTTGAAGTTTGGCGCTTACAACCATACTGTTGGACAGGCGGACTTACACCTAGGTGTGAGATAAAAAATCCTGACTTCAAACCCTTTGGCTTACATGCGAACCACAGTTCAAACGCGTCGAATGGCATAGAAACACAGATTCTGACGCTACCCCATTGCATTATGGATGAGACTTCAAGTAAGAGGCTGGAAAGTAGTGTATCCCTTAAGACAACTACATCCTTAGGTCTCGATATCCACGTACATGAGGTAGAACAGACACACACCTGTGGTCAAACGCTTACACTAACCTCTTCAGTATCTACAAATTTCAAAGTTGAAATCTTATAACAGAGCTCTTAGATACACACAATCAACACACAAAGATGTATCCAACAAGCAAAAACAGTTCTATACATAAATATAATATGAATAAAATAAACAATAATAGTAATAATGATAACAGCAGCAGCAACAACAACAACAGAAAGGCGGGAGTGGGTGGTGAATATTTACGTGGTTTACGTTGACCGAAAAGTTCATCCGAAGCTGTTCCCATAGGTGCATCAGCTTTAGCAAATACAACTGAACTGAAATCACTAGTAGACAATTGACAACACATTTCACTATATGGATAACGTCGTAGATTATGCGGAGTAAGTAATATTGCATGTAAGATGTTTGTATCCAAAGTGTCAGCTGGAGGTATGCCTAAAAATGAAAAACGTAAAATAAGTAAGTAAATTTGAGTAATCATCACAAAAAGAAGGAATAAACCATATACTTCTGCTTTTTCAAAACGGACCATAGGCTTCACAACAGCACATCTCCACTTTCTTCAGTTCTCAGCGTTCCACTTTAGCTGATGCCACGAGTGACTATCGTCTCTCTATCTCATCCTTCCATGATCTCCTCCATGTTACCCTCAAAATGACGACCAACTAATCGTTTCCCATTCGGGTTACACTCAGGGGTTAGTTTGGCGCGCGATGTCATCCAACGGCCTCCTCAGTGTATGTCCGGTCCAGAATATTTGTTGAACAATAGGTTCCTGATGGGCTAGTTTCCATGCTTTTTCGCTGCTAATCCTTTCTGGCCATTTGACCTGGCTAATGCTTACCACCCTTTTATACAGTTTTAGCGAGCAGGTTCAGCTTGGCAGTCACGGGTTTGCTGATCCACATGCACCCGGCTTCAATGATTGACTGCATGTGCGCTGGTCTGGTAGACATGCGCCCAGATTGCATACAGCCACGAATATTTAGTTCTATGCATATGGGAAACCGTAACCTTTCCTAGTTTACTACCTTGTTAGTTTTCTAGTCAAGTCCGGGAATAGAGGGAAGGTTTAGTGTAGGGCTAGTGACCCTAACCCGGAAAATCAATCTAATCGCTACTGAAACTTCAGAGCAAAAGACATATATACATAACAAAAGCCGGGAGAACTGAAGAATTCCATTAAACACCTGTAACAACTAATTACAACAACGAATTAAGGTATCTGTGTGTGTGTTGGTAGTGCTTGGGGGATATATCAATGTTTTCGGATACAACTAGCCTACTTTGTGTAACGATATAAAATAAAATATTTAATTTTCTGCTTGTTTTCTGGTTGTTTGTAATATGAATATATCTGGTTCAAAAGATAACAATAATTGCGCTTCGTATATCCCCTAAATATCTGTTCATGTGGAGCTAGGTATATAGGTCGTTCCGCTCGGATTTTGTGTGAGAGGGCGCAAGAACACTATCCTGCATGGTTACAAAGAGGTGGAAGTGGACATGTAAGAAGTTGTAATAGTTGAACATCTGGTCGATAATGATCACCCTGTCTCTACAGCCTCCGCCCTTAAAGTCATCTACAAGTAATCTGCCCAAATCACTGTATTCCTGAAGCTATCTTTGGCCATCGAAACGCAAAAGCCAGATCTGTGCATACAGAAAACATTCGTTCAGCTCCTACAACTTTCATGGCCTTAATCCCTCTATGCTTAAGTATGGTAATCCCTAATCATAGTTTGGCTCTACCAACGTTTTTGTTTTTTTATTCAATTAGTATACTCTTCCTCTATTACGTCATTTGTTACTATTCTCACTTTGAACTGTCCCCGGTGTTATTTCACTCGTTCCACTTGTCATTCTAAATCAATTTTGTTTTGCAACGTTAAATTCTATTTTGTCCAATTTCACACAATGTTATGTAACGTTTTTATTTTATTCGATTTGTCTACTAATCCTATAATTGCACACCTCTTCCATGTTCTATACATCCTATGAGTAATTTTACATATATGAGGCTAATTGTTTTGCCACTTGATATTTAACTATGATTATAATCACAAACACTTTTATTTTTATTGCATTTCTTACTACTATTATTTTATGTATTCACTCAGACCTATGATTCAATTCCCTCACTGGATATCATTTCTTAAAAACTATAAATGCACGATTGCACAGCTTGATAATAAATTCGTTGTTGAAAAGAGTCTCTTCGCCAAATCACTTGTTTTGATTTTTTTATTAATTACAATGGGAATTTTACATGCACAAATTTATTCTAACTACTCATTATAATAAAGGTTTTTTTGTGTTTCCCGATGAGTGAAAAACAAAAAGATAGGGTTGTTTTTACTGACGTTTCGCTATTTAATGCCGCTTATAGCTTTATCAAAGTATTATTAAATCAGAAGAATTTACAAAATCTCAGCTTATATGTAACAACTTAATCACCGTTACTCAGCATGGGGGCATTTTTGAGTTGTCAAACTAGCCGATTGCTAAAGATAAAGAAACCAAGTGTAGATTGTTGGATTTGATCAGTGTATATAATTATAAAAGCAGAGTGTGTTTACATAGTGAACTTGCTTATCACATTCGTGTTGATTTTGTCACTTCATGGGGGAAAGGAGGAAAGTGTTGTAACCAGGTCAGATTCGGTTTTAGTCCATCATTACTATTCAGCCAACTTGGATTCCACTTGATATGAAGTGCTTCTGATATTAGACGTTCTTTGTGATTTCTGAAGTTTTTCTGGATTATTTCAATATTGTCAAAATCAATTTTGTGGCCTGATTCTATGGCATGTAGACCTATGGCTGATGATTTTTCTAGCTTTTCTAGTTCAACCGGATTTCTCGGTGGTCGAACAGATGCTCTACGGTGTTCATTTCTTCTGATTTTGATTTCTCTCTGACGAGTTTTGTTCGAAGTATATCGCATCACAGTCCAAGCATTTTATTTTATAGACACAATTAGATAGAGAATCTTCAGGGATTTGGTCTTTTATATGAACAAGGTTGCTTTGAAGTGTGTCTGATGTTTTGAAGAAAACTCTAATGTCGAGCTGATTGAGTACTCTTCTGATATCGTCTGACGTCTCTGGTGTATATGGAATGACAACTGTTGACATCCATGTTTTTGGAATACGTTTTCGACCACACTTATTGTCAGTGTTGATTTTGTTGATGAAGTTCTTTGGGTGGTTATTGGGCTTGAGAGTCTCAGTAATGTTTGATATTTCTTCTTCTTTTTCTTTTTCATCCGTTATCAGAGAGTGTGCTCGTCTGAGAAGACTTGAAACAACTGATACCTTTGTGCTTATGGGGTATGATGATCCTAACTGTTACTAACAAAAATCTTTCCTAGTCTTAATTACTTTTCATCAATTAGGAAAGTTTCCAAGTACGCAATAACTAAAATAATGACGTTTATTTCTCATGAGCAAACAACAAGAGTTGCATGTACATATATAGTATACACCAAAATACTACCAATACCTACCAATTGATTGAGAGAATTGACACTCAGGGAATACGAACATTATACTTGATTCATCGCACGGCATAGAAATCACACCAGCCTGAAAAGAAAATTGTTAACAAAGAAAGGTGAGGCAGTAATTCATCAAAGAGGACATTGTGAAGTGCCCGCGTGCGCTGTGTCATGAATTGGCAGAAGTTGGAATTCATGGGCTAGCGCTATTGGATCGGGTCCCAATGAGTGGCTTAATGGTCTACGAGCTCACTCGCCTTGTAACCCGAAGGTTTTGGTTTCGAACCCTGGCGGTGAGTGCATACTGCTGAAAAAGAGTCCTAAACAGCTGTCCAGTACTCCCCCGGTAGTTTCCCAATGATTCTCTAACTGATGTCAGCGCTCAGGATGAAATCTTCCAACCAACCAAACAAAACAGAGTTGATCAGCATCAAAAAGGCGGAAAATATACATAAATAAATTGAATAAACGAAAATCAAAATTACAATTGATGGTAGAACTAATCGAAATCAATCTAATATCCCTCTGTTCAGTATTCATTCAGTTTGGACTTGTGGAGTAAGATACATTACATAGGCCGAAGGTTGGAGAATGCTTTCCATACGGACGTGAGAGCAGGTTCCAGAATGGTTTTACAGCATAGAAGAAAGGAAGAGTGTGAGAAGCTCTATTCTAGAACAACTAACTTTGACTATGATTTTAAGATCATCTATCGAATCCGTGATAACTTCCCACATTCCCATAGTTCATGTTTGTCACACAAAGATTATTTATTTTGTCACCTTATTAGAGCTAATTTGTTATTCTACGTAGAAATGTATCCGCCACATTATTCTTTATTCCTTTACGTTCCAAGTGGAAAATAGGGCTTCAGCTTTGAAGTCTCAGCAGCAGCGGTTTCGTTTCTTTACGCGGTAGGCGCACGCCCAACTTTCCTTCTTCATCGGGCTACCTACCGGTCTTAGCGGGCTTTAGGAGCGCGTCGGCCACGATTCGAACCCCGGGCCGAATGATTGGTTGGCGAGCATTCTACTGCTGAACGACCAACGCATATCCACCATATAATAGGATATTTTTTATCTTCCTGGGATCAATTAATCTAGATTTGTATGGCCCGTTGTCCTACTTTGTCTTATGTATCTGACCTGACAATCACTGAGCGGGGCATTAAGTGACAAACTCAATTATGTTGTATAATTGTTTATTTCTGACTGAGTCAATGGATTTCAGAAATGCAACTTTTATCATTCCGGTTTTGTTAAGAATTTTACATAAGATTTCAGAGTAAATTTATTGCTCCTCTCATCATTATATCAAAATGGTATGTGAGACTATAAGCAATGAATGGTACTCGAAATGTTGTGAACAATGAATAAATAATACTGTATCATCAGAATGTATGTGTGTGATTACTGTACAATGGGAATTATACCCGATCACAGTGCCCACATCACTGTGATGACGATGCTAACAACAAAAATCAATTTGTGGAGTAACAGTTGAAAGAGAAATAACGGTAGGGCTCAAGTGTATCAGAAATGACTGACATGCTTCCCGAATAAATCTCTTCATAAAACCAACTAGTCAAATATGGGATTGTTCTGTTTGCTTTCTAACAATTTTTACCATGAGGCATGATTTCACATTTTATTTCAATAGCTCTCTATCTGAGACATACTGTCTAAACAACCTCGAACATAATGTATTATTAGTGGAGGAAAGCGGAAATTGTTGGGAGGGGTGAGGCATTAAAACACTGTGAAACATTTGTATTGAGCAAGCCTGTGTAATTGATTACATCACATACATGGCTGCAGACTAAGAGAACCGGAGGTTTATTGGCGAAATGGTCGCCAAACGCACTGCACACATGGTTCGAGGTTCGATTCCCGGAAGACACACTCCAGAAGCTTGTTAAGCCTCGAAAGAAGAGGAGGTTGGGTGTGAGACTTGGTATCCCATCTCTAAAAAGTGTCACTGTTTATCTACCGAGACCGCAAATGTGAGTAATAAAAATATCTACGACATAAAAACAAAGATATCAGCAAAGAAAATCCATTTTTGCTCATTTCTTTTCTATAGCTGTATTGCATACCAATATTGTTCCTTTGAGTTCCAAGTAGAATATAGGGCTACGACAGCAAGTCTTCACTTTGTCCTATATTTGCGGTCCTCCTTAACTGGTCCCACGGTTGCTTGTAGTCTCTGATCTTCCCCATGTTTCCTCGAAGTGACGTCCTAATCACCGTCTCCCATTAGGGTCTCCCTCGAGAATCGGTTTGGTGTGAGATGTCATTCGATGGTCTCCACAGTGTGTGCCCAATAATCCATCCCCACTTCCTTCTACATGTTTGTTGAGCAATAGATTCTCGCTTGTTCGGTTCATTCCCAGAGTTTCCTTCTCACCGGCCATTCGATCTTCAATATGGAGCCAGTAAAGACAACAGTAGCCCATTCATGACGCGTCCCTCACGTTTTTGACCCATATAGAAGCACTGAATGATTTAACACTTGTGTTGAAACTCCGAAATTTATTGTTTATACTGACTGTAGAAGATTTCCATACTGACGGCAGAGTGATGAAGATCTGTCTTGCTTTTAACGATTCTGGTTTTGACATCTTCATTCGTGCTGTCCGCATGTAGTTGAAACGATGCTTCCTAGATAAGTGAAGAAAGTGACCTCTTTTAAATTTCTTCCATTGATAATGATTGGTGCTGGTTGATGTTGGTCACCTTCACCACATCCATCTTCTCTATGCTCACCTGAAGTACTTCCACAGCTATACGATCGTACTATTATAATATGGATTGTGATAGACGATAACAATTACGTTTGTGTTGTGGTGTGTGCTGAAATCTCATAAACAGTGAATGACAATGTTGAAGTGTTAAGGAGAGTGAAGAGTCATTAATTCCTTCAGATCACATAGTGTACTACACAGCTTCTGATGCATCCTTCAAAGAATGTCCGCAAGATCCGACTAAAAATTCGCCAAAAATAAGCACGAGAGTATTTGCATTGCATGTTGGATGCCATGTAGACAAAAAGCCAGGAATTTTCGTACAAGAACAAATTGTACGTCTTTATTATCTTTGACTTGGTTTTTCTTAATTCACTTTACGTTGTCATTATGTTATATTTTTTAAGTTTTATTGACGTTACTTTATTCATTCTACTTTTCCGTCTCATTATATCTTGGACCTGAAAAATTTATATATAGAATTTCAGATATGCTGTCTTTCTAGCATGTATCTAATTATGTCTATTGAACTTCTTTATGATGAACTTGAATTCATATATTTAGTCAATTTGTGAGGCTGACAATATGCAGAGTCTTTTGAACACACCGTGAACAGAAATTTTAATACGTTTTGAGGGAATGCGAATAGCCCCCGACCAAATTTAAGATGACACTGAAAGACTGCATTGTGCACAAACTCCTAGTTTATAGATATGAAGTGAAATGGTTGGGTGTGTTGACCAGCAATAATATCCCTTATGCAGGGAGTTGTACCTCGCAAGGTATTTGCCAACTTATGATGTCATCTCCCTGGCGTAAACGTGATATTCAACTGTCAACCAAAGGACGTGTGTCAGTTGCCCTTTTCTTCTCTATAACTGTGAAACATGGCCACTGAAAGTGGAAGACTTCAAGAGGATGGAGGTGTTTGCGTTCTCTATCGCTTGTGTTATGCAGTAATGAATGAAGGTCAATGGAAGAGAGATTGTGAAGTTGTGTTGATTAAGACGAATACGACAAGCGTTACGTGTATGTCAGCAGCTAGCGCCGTCCGCCTCGTCGAGAAGTATTAGCTGATATAGGATTAATTTAGATAAGTGTTGAACATGATGAAACCAAAACTTGGGAGCAATCCATGAAGTATTTGACTATCGGTTTGAGCCAGCCATGTAGCGAGGTGGCTGGAGACCTGGAGAGGTAAGAAACCAATAGCAGCTTTCAATGGAGAACATAATCTATTCTTTGCAGACTCCAGTATCCAGCAAATTTTCATTACTCTCCACAAACTTATCGTTTATATATATATATATATATATATATATATAAAATAGAGACAGTGTGATAGTGCAGCTATGAAAATGAAATTGACGCAAAAAAGTAGATTTTCATTTGCTGAAATCTCTACTTTTATATAGAATATAAAACAATATAATAATAATAATAAGTAATCAACACATTATTATTATTATTAATATCTATGAAGAACAGGTTAAAGAAGAAAGATTTATATTCACCATTCCTCTTTCATATAAAGCTTGACAAAACTGCGCCATTTCTGTACGACGTCCACCAGATTCGTGTAAAGTTATTCGGAAATAATTACCACGATAACCGGCAAATGGACTTGGATCAGATTGTAAAGATGATGCTTTAGTTGAATGCACTCGTGGAATACACCATTCTTGATCACGTGAAATAGTAGCTAACAAACATGGAGGTCCATTATTGACATTATAGGGTATTGTAGACCATGGTTTTAAACCAGCCAATTCATAGAGTAGAGATGTATGCGGCACCAAACGTTGAATATGCAGGCATGGTTGAAAACTGTGAGGTAATTGTTTGTTTTGTTTTTTTGTAATGCGGATTAAGAAATAAAATTTTGATGAATAAAATGTCTGTTTTTATTATTATTATTACTGAATTGCAATGAAATACTGTTTAGCGATTTAAACTGTCTAGAGATTACTGATATCACCAATAAAAGAGCTTTATATATATGGCGAAAGCAACACAAGTGTCATAAGCCTTTCTTGACAAACTGGTTTGCTTTATGCACACAATGGTAGTACAAGAAGGTGGGACTGTTCGTTGGCAGATGTCAAAAAGGCGAATCTGTCCACACCTCTCGAAGGAATAGACAAAATAATTCATCAGAGATGCGTAACCACCTCAACCCAAGCAGCAGGCAGAGACATAACTATCAGGATCTTCAGGTTCAATTGTAAAAAATAAGATGCTATCATAGGAGATTTCTCGATAAGTTAGTGATAATTAAGTGGCAGAATGCGCATCAACAACGTACCTCGTTTGGTCCGGGATTCAACTCCCAGCCGACTGACTCCGAAACCTCGTTTAGCCTGTCGTGAGCCCTGTAAAGAGGCAAGGATGGTGTAAACTGATGCACATTGATAGGAAGCCGCGGAAACTGAAGTTGACATTTAAAGTTTATTCCTCAAATCTGGATTTAGTTTACAATGTGAACGTGAAGTAACCTCATTGGACAACTTGTTTCACCCTGGGCTGGTCACCAAATAATCAGAACAAATTATTGTCCTCTGACCTAAGTCGAACTTTAATATGGCTAAGAATGTATAGATATGATGTGTTTTTCCCTAATAGAAGTCCGTCACCAAGTCTCTCATCTTCTCCTATTACATTGGGAGTGAGACTGGGGACAGTCCGTATAAAAAATATCACTGCAATTGAAACTTCAAGGCTCAAGAATGACACCTTATGAGGTGTGACAACTAAGCAAAAATCTATACCATGGATAGATATATGTGCCTGCATAGCTGAAATGACATTGAAAATTAATCTGATGCCCGTTAGTGACTTGCTACAGGACGGAGTTTCTTGGAGTTAGTTCTAGTGAGAAGTCGTGACCAGTGAGGTCCAGCCAGTCAAGTGTGATGATGGTTGTCCCACCGATGACATTCCTTGGTGTCGCGCTAAATCACTAATCGGTAGGAGTTAGAATTCATGGACTGGCCATCGGATCGGGTCCTAGTGGTTGAATGGTCAACCAGATAGCTTGCCTTGTAACCGGAAGGTCCTGGTTTCGAATCGTGGCGGCGGGTGCGTACTGTCGACGATTCCCAAACAGGGATGTAGGAAACAGCTGTCCAGTACTCCCTGGTGGTTTTCAATGGTTCTCTAACTGATAAATCAATCCATGGTCAAACTCATAAAAAAGAAATGATATTTGACAAAATCTTGAACATGAATGACATGAAACATTCAATTGTCGCCAATAGATAATCATATGACCCTTGATTGTCAAACATGTTATCCTGGCGCTTGGATCAGATTGTTAATAAAGCATCTATTTTTCCTTTTCTTTTCATTCTGAACAACAACATAACTTGGTTTTATATCCACATTACAACAGAATCATCAACCTTCTACTTCAATTTCACCGATTTTGAAAAGGCCTTCAATGGAGTTGACTGAGGAGTAATTTTGAAATAACAACAACTACTACTATTGTGGTAAGAGCTGGCTGCTAGCCAATGTTGGTAGACAGTAATTGACGTCAATGTTTATGTCCCCAATATTGGTGGTGAGAAAATGAGAACAAAGGCTTTGCGTAGGCGGATACAGTTAGCATATAGATGATATGACACAGCCACAAAGAGATGCAAGGTTAACTTTCTGTGAGAAACAACCAATCAAAAGACTGTATTTTCTACTAACAATAATCTACAATAATGTACATTAAAATCTATAAATATGTGTTGATTTTCCTTAATAAACGATCTGTTGCCTGGCCCTTGTCTTCTGTTGTTACACTATTACTTTAAAACTCTATGACGTGGCCAAATTCTTTATCGACGTTATTATTCAACAGCACTGGCTATATGACAATGACACGCAACATAGTGATGAATAACGGCAAACTCAGCGAAGCCTTTGAAGTAAGGACAGAAGTAAGCCGAAGCTGTTTGCCTACTATCACCCATGATATTTCTCATTGTGCTGGATTGGATTATGGAGGAAGACTGTGTAGGCAGGGGAGCAAGAAGACAGGAATACGTTGGACCACCGATAAGAAGACTCAAGAAGGTTTGGATTTCGTGGACGATTTATTTCTAATTTCATATAAACTTGAAGATCTACAGCGGAAAATCAACAAACTGGCAGAAGAAGCAGGCAGAGAAGACAGCAGTCCAAGTGAACACAGTGGACGTCACTTCGAGGTTGACATGGAGGAGATCGTGCGAAGTGGAGATGGAAGACTATGGGCATTTGTAGAGTTAGCTAAGGAGGACTGCAGAGAATTGGAGAAAGTGGAGATGTGATGTTGAAGTCCTATGTTCTACTCGGAACCCAAAGGAGTTATAATAAAATATAGAAAATCTCCAAGTAAAACAGTAATCCTAAGTATATTTATCATTCCACAGAGTTTTGTTTATCTGCAAAATGCTCATATCCGCCGATGTACTTCTCCCAAGTGGCATATGCTGGAAGTCATACAGAAATGCACACTAGTACAGACTGTTGTTCATGGGCAAAACAAGGTTTAACTAAAAAAATTTGATGCGTTGTGATCTAGGGAAAATTAAGTAGCCCAACGAATTTAGCAGGCCACCATCCAGAGGATAACTATTAATCAGTCAGTATAACGAAATGACAGAATTCGATTCATGTGAACTACTGCATAAGTTAGTTACCCGGTACTGGGGCTATAAGACACATTCATTGTGTGGGGACTAATGAAATCGATGGGTTGGGACTCGAACCCAGGAGCCATTGGCCGAAAATAGAATGCTAAAGTCAGTGTATCACATCAACACGGTCGCATATTAACTGATTGGTTGAACGATACTCTATTCTTCATAACCATCTGTTTCTAACTCGGTTTGATATAAGATCACTGGGGTTAATTTCATCACGTATAGACAACAAATGGAAGTGTGTGGGAGGTTACTACTTCTCAGTAGGGTATAGGGGACAAGTGTTTGAGCCCGATCACACACACACATACATGATCGATTTTAATTGGCTCTGGAGTTGTGTCTGCATCAAGATATTACCACCAGCCAAGGACCTCCACAAAATCAGAATGTTCAATTTTCGGAGTCGACCTTTTCTAACTCACCGTTACCAGAGCGGAAAGGCAGTATATGTGGCTTGCTGGTCATTTGAGGGAAACACCACCTTACAGCTGTGACATCTTTATCCCTCCCCCCAGCAGTACGACTGCATTCCCAGACCCACACAACATTGTGTATACAGCTTACACTACATGATAACAACTGCTTTTAGTTTAACCACTATTCAAACTACCGTTCTTGCATGGTAGGACACGCAGGGACGTTAGTTCCAGCCAGTGTAGCCCGTTGGATAATTTCATTATGAGCAACGTAGGGAGGTTTGTTGTCTGGATTCAACATAGAACTTGGCACCGAAGTGCAGCAGTTCGAGTTGCCACGTTCCAAATAGCACACAAAGGCAGACAAAAATGAGTGAAGAGATCAATAGATAAGAAAGTAACATATGAAGTTAAAGAGACTGAATACATCTGCGCCATTGACAACGATTTTGAGCCATGTCACCTATTGTCTCCAGCCATTGATTCTTAGAGTCCCGAGGGCGGCCCAACCCGGAAGTCTGCATCTCCCTACCTGCTATTAGATGTAGCAGCACGTGGCTACCATCTCAATCTATGTAACTTCATAGCCTCTTCGAGTGATTTTCCCTCTCTGCCCAACACTCTACGCCTAACGTCAACATTACTTACCTTATTATACCACCTAACGCGAGAAAGAGATCGTAAACATCTGTGGTCAAAAACAGACAATCTCTTCATGTCTTCCGCTCTCAATGGCCACGTCTCACCGCCATAGAGAAGGACGGAGCGAACTGCTGAGCAGTATACACGTCCCTTGGTTGACAGCGGATGTACTACTAAATCATCCGTTGGTGCTATACACTTCACCCGTAGGGAGGTACATGTACACTGCTTCGTTGAATGCTAATAGCCGCAGACCATTGGTGATGTGGCTCAAAATTGTACTTAATGACTCCGAGGGTTTACCCTTCGTGAATGTCTTCCATGTTACTTTTCTTTCTCTCTCGCACACTTTTGTTTATTATAATTCTTTGGGACATCAATTTTCCCATCTTTTCTGTGCCAAATGGCATGTGGTAACTTTAATTGTTGGTTGGAGGCAATTGGCAGGAAGCCCTGCCTGACCTAAGTTTCGTACTAGTTGACACTCACCAGTCAGCAAGGCGTGCCTACAACCTTGAAGGAACTCATGTCCCTTCTGAGATTCGAAACCACGTCACCCAGTGCTGCAGTCAGAGACATTACCACTGAGATATTCGGGCTCGCAGTTGACCTCCTCCTGCAGGACTGTATCCAATAATTTGGTTGGACACTAGTCAGTAACCAGTGTAGTGTGTCTAGTCCTATCTTTGGTGCAGATGGAATTCTGCCAGTCAAGTTTGCAATGTGGCCACATCATAATAGGTGGCTCGCCATCATGGTGCACTGTGAACTGTTGATAATAGATGGTTGGAGGCAATGGACAGGAAGCCTTGGACCCAGGTTTCATGCTAGTTAGCGAACTTGACTGATAGAATTCAGTCTACATCAAACAAAGGACTAAACACATTACACTAGTTACTGACTAGTGTCCAATCAAACTGAAGTTTTATGTTGACACTTACAGTCAGTCTCTCAGGCAACAAATAAATAACAGAATAAAACATGGAGATCGAATGCATTGTTGATCTCCAATAGTTTCTTCCTTCTTCTGTTGACGTGGACTCCTGATGAAAACAATTCTAAAACTGCATTTCTTCATAGATCAGTATTCTAGAATTCCTGATCAATCGATACACTATGATTTTCAGGTGTTGGTTTGCAGAGATTTGATTGGTTTCAGGATTTCATTCACGGCATTAGCTACTGGCCACGCCATATAATGAATTAGTAGAAGTTGGAATTCATGGGCTAGTCATGAGATCAGGTCCCAGTGGTTTAATGGTCTACGAGATCGCTCGCCTTGTAACCAAAAGGTCCTGGGTTCGAACCCCTGTGGCAGGTGCGTACTGGTTAAGAGTCCCAGTATATGGAGATGAAACAGCTGGTTTTCCAATAGTTCTCTAAGCAACGCCAGTTCATGATGAAATACACTATGATTATTGTGTAATACCCCGTAATTTTAGCCCGACAAAACACATTACAAGGAGTACTAAATTTATTAAAAAAACAACGGGGATATCAATTCAAGTGTGAACAGAGAAAATGAAATAGTGTTAAACACAAACTTACATGCCGTCAAATAAAGTTAATTTTCCTTTACGAAAAGTAGATATTTCTACTGTTAAAGAATACTCTGGTACTGGATAACCCCAGATAAGTAGTGCAATACCGACAACATTTTGAGCATTGTTCATTTCATTAGCAGGCATCTCAGAGTAGTCAGTAAATTGAAGCAATTCACAAGTATTTGCTTGTAATTTTCTTGCATAAGCTATAAGAGAAGTTATAGCACCGGTAGACTGTTGGTAATATGTTGGTGAAGAAAAGTGTTCTGAATTGTCATCTATTCTACCATCAACAGGATAACAGGTTGCAGGAGGAATAGGAGTAGTAACTGGTGGTGGTGGTGGTGCAGAGTTAGGCGAAAGAGGAGGACTGCGAAGTGTTCCACTAGGCATAGGTGGACTACGCAAAAGTCCTCGTGCTGCATACTGATAAGGATTCTCACCTCTTGGCGCAGTAGGACGACGATTATTTATCTAAGGCGTAAAAATGAGAACACGTATAATTTGGCTTTTATGAGAAAATAAATATTTTTAGAGAGCACTCATGGTTTAAAAATGGAAGTACTTAGAATTTTAAACTTAAAATTCTATTTATTGTTTTTATCAATCAATGTATCATAAGAACTGCCCCTATAAACCACCTGGTACAACCGAGGGTCGGTAGACTCTAATAATTCCTTGCGAAATGTTCTCATGTGGCCACAAGTCCATAGTCTCCAACATGTACCTCCTGCTCACTGGCTCCACAAAAGTGAAAGGGTGAATGTGAACGTCTGGTGGTTACAACCGGACTGGTGAACGTGCTGGTCTACCTAGGGGAGCTGGAAAACTCTGATCCAAAAATATGGTGTACATGGGCTCCAGAACCCGAAATGATCGAATGGAGTATGAACGGATTTCGGTGTCACTGTCAACCGTAGGAACGCATATCCTGAAGCTGTCCGACTGACCTGGTTTCAAGTCAAACCCTCGAAAGAAGGGGTGGCTCCCATCTGCTTCGCTTTGTGAAGTTCGGGCAGTAATCAAAAATATTTTGAAAGCATTACGTGATGGTGACGATGTCGATCTGTTCCTTTGAGTGTGCTGAATACATCGTTTTACATAACACACTTAATCAGCTGGCAACGATTGACTGTTTGTTTGGTGTGCACTGTCGAAGTACTTTTTTCAAACATAGCTGAAGCCTTGAATCTCTGCTCATTGTCATTATAAGTACAGGAGTATGCCAATGTGAATCACTTCCAACGCTTCAACACGTACATTTATCAAATTTGGCCTGTTCAAACGGAAGGAATCTAATGACTGTGTGTGTTTGTGTTATATCATCACTGTTACTGTATCTCACTGGGGAAGACAATGTAAGCAATCCCATGGTTTAGAAAGCGTATTTCTAGACACGGTGAAAGTTGATAAGTGCTGATTTGTTTGTGTCCACGTTGTACTAAGTCTGTTTAAATGAATAAATAAATTGTGATAACTCCCAATTTATACATTTTCGCCGAATAAACTAGATAACATCATTAACCTTCATAAACCTTTAGTCAACTCAATCAGTTGAGTGTTACTCAACAACCACTTCAGATACTAAGCAGTTGGTGGTAATGAGCCACAATTATTGTATGAAGACTAGTTATACTATGAGGGGCTGCCTAAACCTCATTGAGTACAGCAGGACTTGACTCTTCAGAATCGCTGCTTGGAAGTTGAATGTCTAGACCAATGAGCCACAGCTTCAATAAAGAGAACTGCATCGATTGCTTTTAATTCAGTTAGCGTTTACTTACTGCAACAAAATAACAAAACAGGTGGAATGGATGAGGATCTCAAAGTCAGGGAGAATCGGAAAGATGAGACACACTCTCATCACTCTGAAATCAGATTGGAAATCCTCTGAACTGATCCAGTATAAAGTACAAAATTCGAATTTTCAACACCAATGGCTAAGGAAGTATGTTCTCTTATATGGGTCAGAAAATCATAGGCGAGAGCGTCACGAAAAGCATTTCCAACAGGCTACTGCAGACTTTTATCACTAACTGCCCCTTTCACTAACTCCAAATTGAAGATGAAATAGCCGACCAGCAAGAACTAGCAACACGAAATTATCGCTCAACAATTATGTTGAAGAAAATTGAGATGAGTCAGTTACACATTGAGGAGACGGTCGAATGACATCACGCGCCAAGCAAACCCTCGAGCGGAACCCGCGAATGAGAAACGACGAGTGGGGCGTCACTTCGAGGGTGACATGGAGGTCAATGAAAGGAGGAAATGAGAGACTATAGGCAATCATAGGGCCAATTAAAGAGGACCACAGAGAGTAGGAAGAAGTGGAGACGTCCTGTTGAAGACCTATGTTCGAAGTCAAGGGAATAATAATAATAACAAATAATAATACTGTACAAACTATATTAAATAGCCGAATGAGGTTTACACTATTGATAGAAAATAATAAAAAAGTGTGGTGTGAACATTTTCATAAACGTTTAGCATTTATATTATACACTATTCACATCTTTCATTTTTGTTTAAACCAGATTATATACTGGAATTATAAAACGAATAAAGCCTTTATTGCGGGCCCTCAATATTCTCACTTGATCGGTGAATGTTTGATTAACTCATAAACACTACAATTTATTCGTTTTATTATGGACAAGATATTACGTCCTGAACGCTTTGATGCTGATTCCAATTGCCAAACATCTTCGAAGATTTGGAATCATTGGTTTCGTACATTCAATACTTTTATCACTAAATCTTCAACTCCAGATTCAGACAAACTTGATGTTCTCATCAACTATATCTCACCTACTGTATATGAATACATTGCTGAATGTAAAACATTTGACGGCGCTCTTAGTACTCTTGAGAAACTGTATGTCAAACCAAAGAACGAGATTTTTGCTCGACATCTATTATCCACATGCAAACAAGAAACTGGACAGAGCCTCGACCAATTTTTACAAAAACTGAAATCTCTGGCAAAAGATTGTTCATTCAAACCTGTCTCGGCTGAACAAAATCAGAATGATGCAATACGTGACGCATTCATAAGTGGAATGCAATCTAATAATATACGACAACGTCTTCTGGAAAACAAATTACTTGATCTTGATACTGCTTATGAACAAGCTCGATCCCTAGAAATGGCTTATCAACAATCACATTCGTTTCATCCTTCCGAATTCTCCAATTCTGCTGCAATATCAAACAGTGATACATCAAATGAACTAAACTCTTATGTGGGTGAAACAGGATTGACTGCTTCAATAAATGAGAAATGCTACTTCTGTGGATTTACTAGACATCCTCGCTCTAAATGTCCTGCAAGGGATGCAGTATGCAAACTCTGTGGTAAGAAGGGGCATTATCAGAAGGTCTGCCGGTCAAAATCGTACACCAAAACTACATCAGTTACTAGTTCTTTGTTGTCTTCCATGACTCTAGCCGCCGCTCCACAGTCTCTCTCCAATGCGGTTGTGCAGCTTTTTGTAAATGACATTCCCCTACAAGCCCTCGTAGATACTGGGAGCTCAGACAGTTATATTTCTTGTGCAGTCGTTCAAAAACAACATATAAAGGTAGAGCATTCTCGCACTTCAATCACAATGGCTTCCACAAGTCTGACAACTCATACTCATGGTCACTGTTATGTAAATCTACGTTATAAAGACTCGAGTTACTCACATATCAAACTTTCAGTGTTGCCAAATCTGTGTGCTGATGTGCTATTAGGTCATGATTTTTTACGCTTGCATAATAAACTCGAAATTCCATTTGAAGGTAAAAACAATCCATTTTCACTGTGTAATCTTGTTGCTGCACATATTGATCCACCTCCCTTGTTTCATAACCTAACACCCAAATGTGTTCCGATCGCTACAAAATCACGAAGACATTCCACTTCAGATGAACATTTCATCAAGCTGGAAATCGAAAATTTACTCAGTGAGCAGATCATCGAGCCATCTAACTCCCCTTGGCGCGCCCAAGTTTTGGTCACTACTAATGAACGCCACAAGCGTAGAATGGTGATTGATTACAGCCAAACGATAAATCGTTTCACATTATTGGATGCCTATCCACTCCCAAAAATTGATGAGATGATTGAAAAGATTTCAAAATATACTGTATTTAGCACTTTGGATTTAAAGAGTGCTTACCATCAAATACCCATCAAAGAAGAAGAGAAACTCTTCACAGCTTTTGAAGCTTGCGGCAACCTCTATCAGTTCCGTCGTATTCCCTTTGGTGTCACAAACGGTGTTTCGTGTTTTCAGAGAGTTATCAGTCAGATTATCAGAAATGAAAATCTTCAAGCTACATTTGCTTATTTAGATAATATAACTATTTGTGGTGAAAACACAGAACAACATGCAAAAAATCTTGCCCGGTTCTATGAAGCATCCAGAAAATATGGGCTAACATTCAATGAGAATAAAAGTGTTATTGGCGTTAAACAAGTAAAACTTCTAGGCTATGAAGTTTCTCATAAAATGATCAAACCTGATCCCGATAGACTTCAAGCATTATGGAATTTATCACCTCCACGAGATCTTAAATCCCAACAGCGAGTCATTGGTCTCTTTGCGTATTATTCACAATGGATATCTCATTTCTCCGATAAAATTCAACCCCTTATACAAAATAAAATCTTTCCATTACCAGGTACTATTGTAAGCTCATATGCAGCATTAAAAAATGAACTTGCTCAATCTGTGATGACTACTGTGGATCTCGACTTGCCCCTTATAGTTGAAACCGACGCTTCGGATACTGCTATAGCTGCCACGTTAACACAAAATGGTAGACCCGTTGCATTTTTTTCCAGAACACTATCACCAAGTGAACGGCATCACTCAGCGGTGGAGAAAGAAGCTTATGCCATCGTCGAAGCTATTAGAAAATGGCGTCATTATTTACTTGGTACTCATTTCCAACTCATTACAGACCAACGATCAGTTTCTTTCATGTACGATATGAACCACCATGGGAAAATAAAGAATGACAAGATTCAGCGTTGGCGAATAGAACTTTCTTGTTACAGTTTTGATATAATCTACCGTTGTGGCAAAGAAAACAAAGTCGCCGATGCATTATCTCGCGGATATTCTGCTTCTGTCATGGGTGAAACTAATCTGAAAGACCTACATAACTCTCTGTGCCATCCAGGAGTTGTTCGCCTTCTTCACTTTGTGCGTTCTAAGAACCTACCTTTTTCTGTTGATGATGTGAAGAGGACGATATCTAGTTGTGCAGTTTGTGCTGAGCTGAAACCCAGGTTTTGCAAAGTATCCACAGGAAATCTTATTAAAGCGACTTCTCCTTTTGAACGTCTAAATATTGATTTCAAAGGACCTCTTCCTTCAAACTCCCGGAACAAATATCTTCTTACGATAATTGATGAGTACTCTAGATTTCCGTTCGCTTTTCCTTGCCAGGATATGACAGCATCAACTATTATTAATTGCCTGTGCCAGTTGTTTTCCCTGTTTGGTATGCCATCCTACATGCATTCAGACAGAGGATCGTCGTTTATGTCTGCAGAATTAAAACATTTTCTCCACGATAAAGGAATAGTTACCAGTAGAACAACAGCATACAACCCCCAATCAAATGGACAGATTGAACGTCTCAACGGCACTCTCTGGCGATGTATATCACTAGCTGCTAAATCTAGGTCCATACCAATCTGTGAGTGGGAGGTTGTTCTCCCCGACGCTCTTCATTCTATCCGTTCTCTTTTATGTACTGCCACAAATACTACTCCACACGAACGGATGTTCAGGTACAATCGAAAATCAACGTCTGGTGTTTCTCTTCCCAGTTGGTTAACTATTCCTGGACCGGTCTTGATGCGCCGTAATGTACGTTCTAAATATGAATCTCCAGTTGATGAAGTTGAACTGATTGAATGTAATCCCAAGTATGCTCATGTGAGACTTCCAGATGGACGTGAGGAAACAGTATCTATTCATCATCTTGCACCAAAAGAACATATATTTCAATCGCCCGTTAGCATGCCGATTCCAGACGCAGTACCAGAATGCCTCCAAAATCAACTTACTGAAGACGACATATCCACCCGTTCTACAGATACTGAAACTCCTATTTTGACGGACAATTTAAGTGAAAATGTCAAAATTGATCCGAACCCATCTTCTTTACTAGAGAAACAACGAAGGGTTCGTCCATACAATCTGAGAAGCCGCGAAGTCTAAACAATTTTAAAAGTCTTGACTCCTTATGCTCTGTATTCTCAAACAAAAGGGGAGAAGAATGTGGTGTGAACATTTTCATAAACGTTTAGCATTTATATTATACACTATTCACATCTTTCATTTTTGTTTAAACCAGATTCTATACTGGAATTATAAAACGAATAAAGCCTTTATTGCGGGCCCTCAATATTCTCACTTGATCGGTGAATGTTTGATTAACTCATAAACACTACAAAACGCTTTTGAGAAAAATAAACACACTCACAGATTTTGATTTAGTTTCAAGAGTTGGTATACTACTTGTTCGTGAGCGTTTACGAGTTTTTTTACCAATACGAGGAATTTGTGGAGTTGGTAGAAGAGCTGTACGATTCGTAGGTATAAAACATTTCATCACTTCAGGTTTTTTAGGTGTTATAATTAAAATTGATCCACTCGCTGTAGAGATTGGATCAAGTTTTAGAGCTGCATCAGTAGTTAACTTCCAACGACATTTTACAACAGCATACGGCATAACATGTTCAAGTTTTGCACGTAATTCTAAGTCTTCATCAAATTCATATAAATAAACCTAAAAATGAAAAAGTGGATAAAAGTTGATCCATTATAATATCACAGTGAGATGGTATTTGAAGATTTGATAAGAATATTAGCGTAATCGAGAAAAATTCATGAATAGTTATCTCATCTAGGGATTAATGGAAAGGGTAATTTACAAGCTGTGTGTTCAGGCAAAGTGGCTTAATTCGGTGAATACATTTTTATTCAAGTATTGGTTTGTAGGGATCTGATTGATTGGTTACAAGATTTCATCATGAACTGACATCAGTTAGAGAACCATTGGAAAGCCAACCGGGAGTACTGGACAGCCAGCTGTTTTGTCCCTCTAGTTTGGGACTCTGCTTCAGCAGTACGCACCCACCACAAGGGTTCGAAGCCAGGACCTTCCGGTTACAAGGCGAGCGATCTTGTAGATCATTAAGCCACTCATTGGGACCCAATCCAATGGATAGCCCATGAATTCCAACTTCTGCCATTTACGACATAGCAGTGTCATCGGTGGCGAGTATTTGTCCTCACTCCCGATCTCTTGTACCCTTCTGGTCACCACTTCCCACTAGAACCCCAGGTAACTAACCACCTGAATAGGGCTAGTCACCAGTGAGCATCCCACTAACATTCAAGTTTTGGGTTGTAGGGATTTGATCGACAGATTACAGGATTTAATCATGGGCTGACATTGGTTAGAATTCATGTTTCTCTTCAGTTGTACCAAAGGCGATGAGTTTTCATAATCGACAGATAAGATGTATTACGATGGATCAGTGGTATAACCATAATCTTTCTATATTTGGTCATGGATTGATATCAGTTGGAAGAACCACTGAAAACCAACAGTACGTGCTGGAAAAATTTTTCGTCCTAGGTCGGGACTCTTCATCAACATTATGCAGTTATGACCCCACAAGGGATGGAAACCATGACGTTCAGGTTACGAAGCGGGCTGGCTGATTGACTATTCATCCACTGAAACGGAATTCAACGCCTCATTGAATTTCAACTTTTGTCAATTCATGATTTTTATCAAAAAAATGGTTCACGTTTTTTAGGACTAGTCGCTTTAAATTTCAACTGTTCTGAAATAAGGCTTCTCGTTGAATGAACAGTTAGTTACTGATGTTCATGGGGGTGAATATAACCGAAGATAAACGATATGTTGCTAAGCTAATACAATTACATTAGAAATGAATGTATCTAAATCCTAGTTCACTCATTAGTTTTATTATTTATTTATTTTTATTATAGCTTGATTTCACACAGTACTTCTCGTACAACTATGAAATCTTTAACATGTGATATCGGTAGTCCAAATTTAGCAGACCGACCATTGATATCAGGAGGGCTTCGGTCGGGGATCGAACCCCGGATCATGTGCATGGTCGGCAAGCATCCTTACCGCTGTGCCACCGACGCACATGCCGTTCACTTTCAGCCAGTCAATATCATAAATGTCGAGCACAAATTTGTAGATAACCTCTCCAAAGTCTTACCCCTTTTTATATGAGGCTTACAATATCCTTATGTTTAATGACAGTCATTAACTGTCAAAATTTCTGTCATCAACACATGACAAGTTCGACCTTTACACCAGTTTGTTTAAAACACGGTTGCATAGTCTGTGGTGAGAGATAGCTGCTAGTCAAAGTTGGTAGACAGTAATGGACGTCAGTGTTTATGTCCCCAAAATTGGTGGTGAGAAAATGAGAACAAAGGCTTTGCGTAGGCGGATGCAGTTAGCATATAGATGATCTGACACAGCCACAAAGAGATGCAAGGTTAACTTTCTGTGAGAAACAACCAATCAAAAGACTGTATTTTCTACTAACAATAATCTACAATAATGTACATTAAAATCTATAAATATGTGTTGATTTTCCTTAACAAACGATCTGTTGCCTCAAGAGTCAGGCCTTCTGTCGTTACAAGTCTAGTAGACTATTGATTTTCATATGAAGTGAGGTATGGAGAAAATCACACGACAGCAGTAAGGTGGATAAAATAAAAATCATCATATACAAATATAGAACGTTAATAACGGTTCTTCCTCTCAGTCCCATGCATGCCCATAAACAAACCTCACACTAGGGTGACATACTTCACTTAAAATGCAAACGAGTTGTAACAGCTGTGTTGTTACCCTTAAGTTGAGGGATTTAATATGCAAAACACAAAGAAACAGACACTAAAATTAGCGATTCCCATTAAACCCAGAAGCTTTCTGCTTCTCAAACATGATCAATAAGACTTGGAGTCTAAAACACGACTAAGGCTGTTAATACATACACCATATATAATATCACAGTCTTCATTCAGTGTTTTGCTCACAATCTGCACACACATTATGGATATAGCATTCGTCGTCGGAGGGCAATTAACTGACTGAAAATAAACGGTATGTTGCTAAGTTACTTTGATTGAACACTAGGTAGTAGTAAGTAATTAGTGTCATGGTGTCTAGCCGTTTGTCTACTGAAGACTGAATTCTATCGGTCAAAAGTTTGCAATGTGGCCGGCTACACCATTCTAGTTGGCTCGCCACCACGGTGCACTGTGCATTGTTGTTATCAGGTCGTTGAAAACAGTCAGTAAGTCAAACAGCTATGTTTGACCTAGGTTTTGTGCCTGTTGGTGGCACTCATTAGTCAGTGAGGGGTATCTACAATCGTGAAGGAACTCTGTTCCCTGGGAGATTCGAACTCGTGTTACCCATTGCTGCAGATATGCCTCGTTGTCTGGTGAGTGCCAACGATTACGAAACCTAGGTCTAAGGCATCCTGTCGACTGCCTCGAATTATCTAATAACTACAGTGTTCCTAAGTTATTCAAAAAACATATGATTGTGGGTGAACTAGTATTTGGATACATTTGTTCTAAGGGAGGGGAAATCAGTCGACGAAACTGTGAAATAACATCGATTGAGATGGTTAGGACATGTGTTATGTATGCCTAGTCATCGCCTTCCTCGACGGGCAATGTTAGCTGATATAGGGCCAGGCTGGAAAAGAGCTAGCGGCGGTCAAACGAAAACATGGCACCAGTCAATGAAATCCACAACAGTTAGTCTAAGCTACGTAGGAAGATGTAAACTTCCTGGTTGGGGTCCTCGGGACGGTAAAAACCAATGGTTGGAAACAATTGGTGACATGGCTCAAAATCGTTCTCAGTGGCGCAGATGCATCCACTCCTTGTGACTTATGATTTCCGTTATTACTATTCCTTTGTCTCACACCTCTGTTTACTGACTATATTATGCATTTCTCCTACTTTCTTCTCTTGCTTTGTGTGCTACATGGAGTGTGGCGACTTGAACTGCCGCACATATGTGCAAAGTTCTATGTCGAAAACCGACCGACCGACCATTCTAATGCATCTGAATAGCCTGGCAACGCACCGCTCACTTTTAGTCATGTACTGAGTTAACAGCCGTGCTTGTCCTATAGGTATAGGTGGTGGCAATACTACCCAGTTTTGCCTAGGCTGAAATTGGGATGAGTAGGACTTGAATCTGTGAAGCATCAGTTAAAAACCGAGTGCTTAAACCACTGAGTCACATTTCTACACCTAAAGTTGTCTAACTTCATATTTAGCACGACGACAGAGGGTTGTGTGTGTAGGGGGGGGGGATTAACCCGGTTGTCCAATGAATTTAGACCTCAAAAACACTTATGACATCAGAATGAATAATACAACACAATTAATACACTTACCTGGGATAAATGAAACGCTTGCTCTAAAGATAATTTGCCTGGATCCAACACATCCATACGGGACCATGTAGACACATGACAAGCATAACCAGGTTGAGGTTCTAAACGATCCTTGGATTTTTCAGCTTCAGGTGAGACAATATACGCTCGTGACTTGACCCATCGTACCAGGATTAAGTATAGGAATTGATCAATATCTTTACTCGACAAAAGACTTTGTTCTCGAGCAATAGTTAAATCTGCACATTGATTTACTGTCAGACCTGGAGAAAAACGTTTTACATAATGCTAAGTAGTGAATAGGTACTAAAAGAGAATAAGAACTGAAACGTTAGCAGTGCTCTAATTAAGGGTATGATGAAATTATTATCCTCCAGAGATAAAAAGGGGGGGGTTAAACCGACTACAATATTTTGTGAATTTGATAGTACTGACTGAGTTTAAACATAGTACTTTGCACAGAAGCACAGCACTTCAAGTCGCTACACTCCATGTAGTACACAAAAGCAGAGGTGTAGACGTGATATCCGGCTGGCTATCTACCAAGGAGCGTGTGTACTGCATAGTAGTAGTTCGCTCTGTCCTCCTTTATGCCTGTGAGTGAGACATGACCATTGGAAGTGGAAGATATGAAAAAGCCAGCTAACGTGTGAAGTGGTATAATAGGGTGATCAATCAACGAGGTTGTAAAGTTACATCGATTGAGATGGTTAGCACATGTGATATGCATGCATTCCTAGCCATCGTCTTCCTCGACAATGGGCAATGTCAGCTGACATAGGTTGGAAAAGTTAGCTAGTGGTGACCAAACAAAAACATGGCTTCATCAATCAGTCAGTGAAATCCATAACAGTTAGTTTAAGCCAAGAAGGGAGGTTCTTCAAAATTACTATTCCTTTTGCCTCATATTTCTGTTCATTATCTCTCTCTTTACTCTCATCTGTTGCTTTGTGTGCTACAAGGAGGGAGTGTGGCACCTGGAACTGGTGCACATCTGTGCAGAGTTTTGAGCCATATCACTAATAGGACTCTAGCCATTGGTTCTTAGCATCCTGATAGGACCTCAGTAGGCAGTATAAACCTCTCTAAGTCGGTGACTCAAGCCAACAGTCAAATACTTCATGGATCTATCCGAGGTTTCGGCTGGACTATTTCTCAATCTTTCCCACCCCAACTCTATCTCAGAGAGCATTGCTCGTTAAGGAAGGTGGAGATATCGCATGCGTTACACGTGGCCTAGCCATCTCAATCGATTAATTTTCACAACATCATCGATTGACTTGTTTTCCTCACCTGGCATTCTACGCCTAACCTCGGTACTTCCCACCATAGAATGCCGTTTAACAGGGGGGATAGAGCGCAAACATCTGTGGTCAAAGAAAGCTAACCTTTCCGTGTCTTCCTCTTTGAATGGTTATGTTTCATGGCCGTAAAAGAGAATAGAGAGAACTGTTGTGCAGTACACGCAACCTTCGATCAATAGCCTGACATCGTGCATACTCCAGAAACGACATAAGTTGTCAAATGTCACAGGAGTATTCTTGTATCGATGCTGAGATTTCCCCAGAAATCAGTTCCTTAGGGTCGATGCAACTTTGCAAATCTGATAGTGACACATATATGAGTAAAAGTTCTAAGTAGCTGGGAATACGATCCACTGTCTACAGTAGAGATAATCACAATACAAAAACAAAAGTCGGATCTCCACTTTACGATATCAGTTTGAATACGAGAAATTTCCACTGAGTTCAGTTTCATTCTTCTTATCATGAAAATACTTAAAATAAATGGTATAATTTACATAGATGTAAACACGACTCTTTGGGTAGGGGGGGGGGGCCAAGAGGTCAACCGAATCAGTGGCTTCAAACGTTATCAAATATGCATGCGAATCAAAACTAATGATGACCACGCGGTATGTCTCTCCTTCTGAAAGTGAAATGAAGTAATGTAATTCTTTAAGCAACTATGAAAAGATACGCTTGGAATGTTAGATACACTTTACTGCAATCCTCTCATCTTAATTTAGTCATGTAACGCTAAGGCATTCTAGTATAGACTTATAAGCGAAAACTAACTAGTTGAAGTTATGTGCTAAAAGTTTCCATAAATGACCTGAAATACATAGCTGAAAGTTGATTGCTCTTTCCTTTGAAATTGTATCATGCGATGTTACGTACATTGCCTCCTCGAGACAAGTTGTTACTCACTGTTTTGAAGCCACGTCCCTTCACTTTTGATATTGGCAACATTTTAAGGAATCTTGAAGGATGTGGCGCTGCGGTGGCATAGATTTACAACCCGGAAAAGTCTGTTCAATCTTGAGTAGGAAGATGTCGTCTAACAGTGGGATAGAACACAACCCGCACACACTCAACCAAATGGCAGTCAGTGTCAGTGAATGTGGTAGGTACTTGACATCTCCTAAATGCAAAGGACTGTTGTGTCATTGGCAAATTCTATACCCCCACCGTCTCACCCTAACAAGTGAACCGTTTGTACTAGAAAAATTTCACGTATCTATGTATTTGAGAGAGTTGGAGATGTGATGGATACGATTTCCAAACATATAGTGATATCCGGTGTGAAATACATCAACCTCCAGTGCTCACACGGTATTGGTCTGACCTTCCAAATGTCAAGTTAACAACGTTTCACTTCTGAGAAATCTGGTTAAGCAGAACTGAGGATTTACAGACTATGTGCATTCAGTCACTAATTTCTCGATAGGATTATTTGCACCTGGTGGCGTCAACACATAAGTAATTCTGAGATGCATGTCTGGACAAAATGAAGGTCATTCCTTAATAGGTGATGGCATTTTGAAACACTGGTATCAGTGGCTTGAAAGTGTGTTAGTGAAAGTCGTCCCAACAGCTTCCATATTGTTTTTCGTTCGCTAGTACCGAGACCGGTTGTAAAAATGTGGAATAGCTGACGAAGTATAGTCGCTGTGTAGTTAGAATATAGTTTCGATTCATAACTTTCTAGTTGAGAACTGAAAAATTACAAGAGTCAACTGTTTAAGACATTGTAAGCTAAGGTTGAAGATCAGTATCAGTGGCGAACATGCTGCAGTTTCACTTTGTTTATTATGCTTTCAAGAGTATAATTAATTAGTGCAACCCCACCTGAGTGTGTTTGGTAAGTGGACTTACTTGTTTCAATCTTTCGTTTCCCGACCACTTAATTTCTATCTCCATTGTGTATTGCAGTTCGACTGTTTTTCGACGTATATCTTCACACCAACATTGTCCCAGGTATGTATACATTTTAAATGAATAATATTTTTGAGGTGTGTCAGATTTTAGACAATGTGAACGGCGTAAAACGAAGTAGCCCAACATTATTATTATTCTCTTGAATTTCGAGTGCCACACAGGGCTTCGGTAGTACATCTACACTTCACTCTCTTCTTTTTGCAATCTCTTTTAGCTGGCCTCACGACTGATGGCAAGTTTTCATTTCCTCTTCAAACAATCTCCTTCATATCATCCACAGACTGACATTTAACTCCTCCACACATTTCTCATTCGGGTTCTACTCGAGGAGGTGTCTAGTGTGTAGTGTTATTTGATGGTTGCATCAACGTGTGCCCAATTCATCTATATTTCTTTCTTTATATTTGTTGGGTTATAGGTTCTGGATTGGTTCGCTGCCAAAGAGTTCCTGGTTGCTTATCTTTTCCAACCGGCCATCTGATCTAAGACATGAGACGAAGGTAGCTTCTGCAGTGGCCTATTGGAAATGCCTTCCGCGACACGCGTGGCATGTTTCCAAATCATATAGAAGCACTGACTGACTTGAATTTAGTGTTGAAAATCCAGATCTTATTCCTTATACTGAGTGCGGCAAATTTCCACACTGATCTCAGATTCATGAAATTGTCTTGCTTTTCCGATTCTCGCTAGCTTTGACATCTTCATCCATGTCGTCTGTCTGGAGTTGAAAGGATACTATCTAGGTAAGTGAAAAAGCTCAACCTACATCTATTTAATAACTTTGTTGTACGAATCCAGAAAGTTTTCACATCACATTTAAGTAAAACCCAAAACAGGAAAATATACTATTCAATGAACACGCTCACCTGATTTAGGTTGACCAAGCCAAGTGTCTGGATCATTTCCTGGATCAAGACCATCAGCAGCAATCTTTTCTACATCTTTCCAATTTCTGACGACTAGAAAACCAGTGCACAAACTTAATTCTGTGCCTGTAATAGTATTATTGATAGGATTCTTTTGAAGTCGTTTACGCGCTTGTGAAAATAAGTCTTCAAGTGTTTTATTATGAATGAACCATGCTTCGCCAACTTCAAAATGAACTGAAAGCTGTGGGAAACGAAAACTTTGATTTATCTGAGGATATATTTCTTCAGAGTAATCCACTGATTTTAAATCAACAGCTTCAAGGAGGGCTGATAAACAAGACAGAAAAAATTAAGACGGTCTTTGAGAATATTTGTCCCATAAAAATAACCAACTATTTTGAAGGATAATTCAAAAAACACTTATCCTCAATGCACATCAATGGTTAAAGTGGAATTAAGAAGAAATCCCTATTTATGACTCCAGAGCATGTACGATGATGACCGTAAATTGATTGTATCCACAAAAAACCAAAAATCAGTATATAGCAAAACTTATTAAGGAGGTTTCACTAATCTCGGTGGGGCGGCTGTCGACAAAATATTAGCATTCGCCAACTTAGATCCTCCCTCGCTGTTAATATATCCTGCTACCTATTTAAGGGTGAGTGAGCTGCACTCTCTACTTCACAATAGTTACTTTTAATGGCAAAGCCTTGCCGGGTCCTAGGTTTTGTGTTTGTTAACACTCATCAGTCGGCGACCCTGAAGGAACTCGTCCCTTCTGAGATTCGGACCCACGTCACACAGTGCTGCAGTCAGAGACGTTACCACTGAGCTATTCGGGTTCGCGACTGACCTCCTGTAGTATCCAATGTTTGAAGTCTTTGACAGATGATTGGGTTCATTTGTACAACTGTAAGCTGTCTGGTTAGAGTCCTTAGAATGGTGATAATCAACTGTAGAAAAAGACACCAATAAGAATCAGGAAGATCACGAGCAGCCACTGTTAAAATAAGACGGAGAAGAGAAGCCCAGTGAATGGCAAGGTACTCTCCTTAGGCGGTGAAGTGATAGAGTCACGAAAAATATGTCATTTTAGTCAGAGTGCATGACCACAACAAACGTTATCCTTTATGAAGCACAGTAATCTAGTACAAAGTGGAAGAACCAAGTGAAGCAGACTCGAATACCAGGGTCGAATATGGTCTGACCTTACCAAGCCGTCTACAGGGAAGCAAAACTGTGACAACAGTGGGTGTCACCATAAGCAGTCTGCAAAGAATCCAACAAGGACCTGCATCTGTAAATAAAGAAACTGTATACCTTCTGAGAGTCACATGGAATTTCAAGTCAGAAAAATGCTATTCTAATCGAGCACAAACTGAAGTCAGTATTAAAGTTTTTACACATCTGGGTATCCCAACTATTTCCAATTGAGTGAACCTGTGGTTCCCGTTTGTGCTTAAGGAATTGATTGGGGTTTAAATTTCCAGTGATGTAAGGTAGCACATTCAACATAGCGTACAAATAGACTACATTCTGTTATAACCATTTAGAATATGAAATTCCAATTATCAGGAATGGCTTCTTCAAATTATACCTATTATCACAAATCCTGGCAGGATACATCTGACCACGCAAAATACACTTTGATGACTACACGGTTATGTACAAGCTAATGAAACAGTTTCACACTCATTTCACTAGTACAACCACAGTAAAATGCCACGTTTGGGTAGCTCTCTAAGAAGTTACACGACAGTTGAGGCTCACACTAAGTTGTAAGTTGGTGGGAGGCTTATGCAGAATGAAGATGATTTTGTTTAGAGATAATCAGAATTCAGTACTACAGGTGCTCCACAAACTGTAAAAAATTCAAAAAGACTAGAAAACAATAAAAATATCTGGCCAAGTTGAACTTAAAGCACCAGCAGAGTGCGACCGCACCAATAGCTTTAGAACGCTCAGTGAGTAAGTTAATGAGACCTGGTAAACAAAATTGTACTCATGGATAAAATATGTCTAGTGAAGTGTTATGTTACTAATTGGGATATCTGATGTGTTCCGGGTTAGATTTGGGAAAGATTACTTCAAGGTTTAGGCCTAGGACAGGTTAGGTTAGCCTAATGATGGCAACATTGGGGTTGGTTCGATTTCGACAAGAGCTATTTTCACATTAGGGTTAGGCTAAGGAAAGATTAGGGTTATCGTTAGGTTTAGAAGACTAGATAATTGCATGCACAGATTGTAGTCTAATTACTCTGCTGGTACTCCAATCCACAATTGTGAGGTATTTTTGTCGCACTTCATGTAAAGGTGTCCTGTGTAATAGTTTCATTCCTTTTAATTCATTATTTCCATGAATATATGTATTTTATAAGAAAGATTTGCTTTAATGATAGGGTCGGTGCGCTCAAGGTCATTTGTCCGTTGGTACTAACTGGTGCTTAAAGTTTAAATACTCCCACAAACCAGTTCCCATTTTCTGAGCTAAAGGCTTATTCCTTATTTCTACTATTATAGAAGTATTACAACATATCTACTGCTACTAAAGAAAATATGGTGCAAATAATACAGGCATAAATTAGTGATAGAGAACCCAATAACGGACTTTAACTTACGTAAATTACTTTGTTTCTTCGGAACCTTAAATGAATTGAGTGCCTCAAGACCAGTCAGAGCAGATGCCTTTCTTCTGTATGAAGATCTTTTACGAGAAGTCATCACTCACACGAGCATTTCGGAGTAGGCGCTTATCATTGGAACCGGTCGTCCAATTATCAATGCTAACCATTTCGAAATACAAACTGTGGTTTAATCTAGACTATTTGCTACACTACTTTTTCAAGGTAGGCAATTACAGAGAAGTACGCCAGTAGGTGAAACCTATATAAAGTCTCCCGCATCATTGTTCAGAGCATCATTTCATAAATGTAGCCCCTGAAAGAGGCTTATTTAGACACCTTTACTAAACATAAATGTGGCTAATGCTCTTTTTCCAAGTTTGACATAAGCAGAAAACTTTTACCCATGAGGGAAAAACCAGTGAGTGTCTTCTGCTTCAAATTCTTATGAACAACTATGTGGTCAAACGACGAAGAGAAGTTTTAATACTCTCGAATTATTGCGGTAGTTTGAAGTTAAAAGTCTGTGGTGGTCTAAGGCCTGGTAAGTAAGCGGTTTTCTAGTGTTTAAACTGTATGTTTATCTAATTTCAGGTTGGCCACGTAGCGTACAGGGATTGGTCGCCCAAGACGACGCAACGGATGACCAATAGGAGGGCTCTTCCCCTCTCCCCTAATTGTATTATGATTGGTTGTAAATAAACTCCTTGACCTTGAGTTTTCGTTCTTACTAGCACGCGGCACTTGTGTGATCACCCTGCTAACGTGCGCTTTGCTCTCTGTTTCAGATCATTGCTTGACGATTGGCCCTACATAAATGGCGAGCATGCCAACGAAAAAACTCTCTTCTTCTAAGTCTCGACTCACTGAGGCTTCCAAGAACACTTCTCCTGTCCAGGAGACAGCATCTAACGAGCTTGCTGATCAACTAGCTGTGGCCATGGCCAGAGCATTCCAATCAAATCAGTCTGGATCGCGCTATGTCCATCCCATGCCACATAAATTAGAAGTTGGTGATGACTTCGATCTATGGTCGGACAAGGTGCACCGATATGTCGATCTGATAAACGTCCCTCACCCAAACGCGTTTGTCCTCGATTGTGTCGGACGTTCTTTGGAAATGCACGTGATAGGTTTGGACCATGTGCATCTGACAATGGGCACCCTTTTGAGTACTCTACGAGCACGCATAGTACCACCAGTGCCTCAAATAGAAGCATTGAAACGCCTGAATGAGTGCAGGCAAGGTCAAGGGGAAGCGGTCAACCAATTTTCACTACGGCTACGCAAGCTTGCTCGTCAAGCTATGCAAAACAGCCCTTTTACAGAGGTCGAAGAACTTGTTTTCAGCAAGTTCCTGCAAGGTGTCGACTTCCGTTACAGGAAAGAATTCATCTTGCATACTCCGGCATCCATGGAAGAAGCGGAAAACAGGGCACGTTTACTGGAAAGCCTGGAAGAGCCAGGAACCACATCACAATCAGTTAATGCAGTGGACTACCGTCACAAGACACCACAATACACTCAACAGCCCAGACAACAGTATAAAGGACGTCCACAGTCACAAATGGCTTCAAGAAACAATTGCTACTACTGCAGGCAGTTTGGTAAGCATGCTCGAACTTGTGGGCACAATTCAGGTAAGTCACATGTCGATGTGAATTGTTTACCGACTATTAACCTAATCGGCGCCACCTCCTCCCCGAAAGTTTCAGGGTATATAGGTAACAGATTATGTGTAATGCTAGTTGATTCAGGAGCAAATTGCTCCGTTATACATTCCTCATGTGTCCCAGAAAATTTCAGGCCCAAAATAAACAATCACAAGTTGCGGCTTACGACAGCCAGCGGAGATTGCATGCAATCCCAGGGAGTAGTCCTACTACCTCTAAAGTTAGGGACACTGTCACTTCAGCACGCTTTCGTTGTGTCAACTCAGGTGCCTTGGCAAGTAATCCTAGGAGTTGACCTCTTAGAAAAGCTGTCCGGGATAATAGACTGTAGCCAGAAGACTCTTATATTGAATGACAGCTTCATTCCGTTCATTCCAGGAAACGACTTAGAGCACGCCACGTTTGGCGTACAGGGCCATGTTATGAAAGAGAAACTTAGAATGTTAACTACGGTGGAAACCTTACCCTTGGAGACAACAGCCAGTTTTAATAAGATGCTCGACAATTACATAGACTGTTTTGACTGGGATGGAAAAAACCCAGGGAGAACAAAACTGATCCAACACCACATAGATATAGGTAACGCCCCACCTTGTAGACAACCTGCACGGCGAGTACCTGCACATTATCATAAAGAGCTGAATAAGTTAGTGGATGAACTGTTAGAGAAGAATGTCATCAAACCATCTGTATCCCCATGGGCTTCCCCAGTAGTTTTAGTTAAGAAATCGAATGGAACACTTCGGTTGTGTGTGGATTATCGTAAGTCGAATCAAGTAACTAGGCGAGACTGTTTCCCCTTACCACGTATAGACGACACATTTGATGCCCTAGGGGGATCGAATTGGTTTACTAACTTAGGTCTAGCTTCTGGATATTGGCAAGTAGAAGTACACCCAGAAGATAGACAAAAAACAGCATTTATTGTACAATCAGGTCTGTAAGAATTTGAAACGATGCCATTTGGTCTGGTAAATGCTTCAGCGACATTTCAACGTCTCATGCAGACGGCCCTTAGCGATTGTATACCAGGTAGGTGTTTGGTATATTTAGACGATATTATCATACGTAGCAAGACAGTGAATGAACATTTAAGTGACATTGCTAAAGTACTAGAACGAATGCAAGCAGTTGGGCTAAAACTGAACCCAAATAAATGTCAATTTTTCAGGAAAGAAGTGTGCTTCTTGGGTCATATTGTATCAGCCGAAGGCATTAGATGTGATCCAACAAAAGTGAAGGAAGTTAAAGACTGGCCCGTCCCAAACTCAGCTTCCGAGCTACACAGTTTTCTAGGGTTAACTTCTTATTATAGACGTTTTGTACTTAACTTCTCTTTACTTGCAGCTCCTTTATTCGACATTCTTAAGAAGAAGGACTACAGTTGGACAAAATCGGCTACTGAAGCTTTCGAGAAACTTAAAGACCGTTTATGTAGCCCTCCCATTCTGGTATACCCCAACGTTTCTGACCAGGCAGGTCCTTTCATCCTAGATACAGACGCTAGCGACACCGGTATCGGAGCTGTTCTTTCTCAGAAAGATGCAGATGGAGTAGAGAGAGTGGTAGCATATGCAAGTCGTGCACTCAACAAGAGTGAAAAGAATTACTGCACCACGCGGAAAGAAATGCTGGCACTTGTCAATTTCGTTAAACACTTTCGAACATATCTCCTCGGTAGACATTTCTTAGTACGGACTGATCACAAAGCCCTTAGCTGGCTACATAACTTTAAAGATGCTGAGGGTCAGATTGCTAGATGGCAAGAACAGCTGCAAGAGTATGACTTCGAGTGCAAGCACAGACCTGGAAAAAATCACGGAAATGCAGATGCATTATCGAGAAAACCTCTTAGGTATCACGGTGACTGCCCATCATGCACCGAAGAACAAGTTTCTTTGCTCCAACTAGAGGCGCATAGTTCATATAGTTGGCCCGAGCTTCAGTCTTCAGACCCTGAACTGGCCCTGATTTACGAACGTGTTCGAAGTAGAGGCGAACGACCAACAGCCCAGGAAATAAGTAAGCTTGGATGGGAAACTCGGTGTTTGTGGGCTCTGTGGGACAATTTGAAAATTGTCGATAACATCCTTTACTACCAACATGGGCCCACTTATACTCGCCGCGTTGTGGCACCACAGTCGGCACTACCCACGGTACTGTTGTCATGACACCAGCAGTTAGGCCACGCGGGCTCAGGTAAGATGATAGAAGCAGCTAAAAGGCGTTATTGGTGGCCTCATCAAAGAGAGGATATCGTAGATTTCTGTGACTCCTGCGAGGTATGCCAAACCATTAAGGCTCCACACAATAGGGCACCCTTAGAACCCATTATAACTGGCCATCCAAATGACTTAGTGCAAATAGACTTGGTTGGTCCTCTCCCAGTAACCTCTAGAAATAATAACTATATATTAGTCATGGTAGACCATTTTACCAAATGGTGCGAGGCTATCGCGATTCCTCAAATTGATGCTGTAACCATCGCAGAATCAATTTTCGACCACTGGGTCAGCCGTTGGGGGGCACCACTTCAGCTACATTCAGATCGAGGATCCAACTTTGAAAGTGTCGTTGTTAGTGAACTCTGTCGCATAATGGGTATTCGTAAAACACGCACTACAGCATACCACCCACAAGGAAATGGTTTGGTTGAACGCACTAAAATCACTTCTGCAGGCATTTGTAGATCAAAACAACCCTCGGGAATGGGACAGATCTCTCTCGCAGTGCTTAATGGCGTACAGAGCAAGCATTCACAAAGCTACGCGTCAAACGCCTCACTATATGATTACCGGAAGAGAACTCCGGTTGCCAGTTGACTTAACTTCAAACACACTAGGAGATGATACGCTTTTAGCATCAGAACACGTTATCAAACTGAGATGTAACCTAAACAAGGTACACCAGATGACTAGGGATATACTTCAAACAAATCAGAGGTACCAGAAGGAATACTACGACAGGAAAGCACATGGATCACCCGTGGAGCCGGGAGACAAGGTAATGTTACTAAAGGAGGCACCGCCTAAAGGGAAAGCTCTTAAATTCCATAAACTTTGGGATGGACCATTTACGGTAGTAGAGGTACTTAGTGACTGCACATGTAGGATCCAGGGTCCCAATGCCGCTCATAGTCTAGTCACACATTTTAATAGACTGAAACCTTTTCGGCAACAAGCCTTAGTTCAGACAAGTCCCGCACTAACAGCCACCTAACACTGTGGACAGTGTTTCTATAGGAGAGGGGGTAGTGTAAGGCCTGGTAAGTAAGCGGTTTTCTAGTGTTTAAACTGTATGTTTATCTAATTTCAGGTTGGCCACGTAGCGTACAGGGATTGGTCGCCCAAGACGACGCAACGGATGACCAATAGGAGGGCTCTTCCCCTCTCCCCTAATTGTATTATGATTGGTTGTAAATAAACTCCTTGACCTTGAGTTTTCGTTCTTACTAGCACGCGGCACTTGTATGATCACCCTGCTAACGTGCGCTTTGCTCTCTGTTTCAGATCATTGCTTGGCGATTGGCCCTACATTGGTTGTACTAAGATATGTCATCCAACCCCTTGAAATCACCTAGCTACCACATTTGGCTGATTTTAACTAAAAGTGGAAATCATTAAATTCTGGGTGAACTCAGGCTGAGAATGTGGAAGACCTCCGAAAACTTTTCATTGAACGAATACAGTAAAGTATTCAATTTTTGGTCACTAATACTCAGGGAATGTTAAGTATACTGTATGAAATTGCTTACATTT